GTCAGACCTATTGCTAGACCAAAAAAAAAAAAAAAAGACTTATTATTAAAGGTTAGGTAAAATAGACTGAAGTTAATTAATTCATTAGTAACTCTGAGCCAATTACCGGAGCCTTCTCTTATTTATATACTTGTTAACAAGACAGAAACGCGGAAAGCCAATTATGGGCACCTGTCCTCCAGAAGTTCGGCAGAGCCAGAGGCTTAGGCACTTACAGATGCCTTCCCAAAAAATGCAATTGATACATCGGATTGTGAAATCGCTTTTTTAAAAAATTGTTGGCAAGCTCTCTGTTCCATTCTGTCCATTAAAAAAATATAGTTACAGGTGTTTCCCCCATTCGGATAGCTTTTAAATTGTCCGCCATTCCTGAATGCTCCTAAAATCTTCCTGAGGAGTGTTGCTTAGCCTTAGAGCAATCGCAACACTAAAGGAAATTTGACATCTTTTCTGATTTTCATTATTCTCTCCTTGTCCAAGCTTCTCATTCTTGAAACGAGTTCCTTGATTTGCAGATCTCACATAATGTATAGCCCTTTAAAATATGTTCTAGTTGATTTTTATTGAACAGACCAAAGCTTTGCAGCACGTAGATAGGCAGCTTTTACTAGATTTTTTCCTGAGGGCCAGTATGAAAAACTTTAACTGTCCCACACAAACTACCTGCACAGCACATATACAGAGTCTTCAAAAAGTTCTCAGGAAATCTTACTGTGAAAAACCTAAGCATGGTGTCATTTTTTTTTTTTTTTGCACCAAAATAAACTTAAATTTAATTTCATTTTTCCACAAACTTTTTGAAGACTCCTCATGCTATGTTTATTACTTCTCCTCCCCTCCCTCAGAAATATTTTGTTAACTTCACAGGGGTTCGGAGAGAGGGAGGATGGGTGATGGATCAGTCTTTCAGTTATCTCTATTCCCTTCATATGTTTGAGTCAGCATGGCGCCAACAACCCAACAAAGAGCCAATTGACGCTAATGTTTCAATAAATGGACTGGTTGTTTGAATTAAAGCCAATTTGAGTTATGCTTTTCTTTTTTTCGCTTTTTTAATACCATATGGACATGGGTTGCCATCATTAAGTGATGCCAAAATAATGTCACAGTCACTGCTGCCTAGCTTTTTAGTTTTCCCTCAGTCCCAAGAATATTAAACTTTAATAAACTATTTTATAGTAGAATAACGACAAAGCATTATAGAGCAGAAACAAAATCTCAGCAGATGATTCTCGGACGATCAAAGGAAAAAAGCTAGAGCGTGTGTAGCCCAGCTAACCCGAGCAGCGGCCTGAGTACGACTGCCAGCCTCATGGAACACCATGCTTCTGAGTGTCCAGGCTCTCCCATCCACGCGTCCCTCGCTGCTCTGCCTTAGAATGACGTGGGCGCTTTCCTCTGCTCAGTGGTCAGCTAACTGAGGACAGTAACTGTGTTTCGTGCACTTTGTAGCCCCAGAACTTCAGCGCAGTGCCTGGCAAATGGTAAACAAATGTCAAGAGAATTAGGGATGAGGAGGCCTAATCTCTTTAACTTGTTGTGTCTAACCTCCCTGCCTGCCTGAGCTAGCTAAAGAATCACTTGCTTGAAATCCATTAATGTATCTTTATTTTCTGTGGTAACTGCAAAGAATTGCTAACAAATGTTTCATTATTAATGCATTATGTAGGTTTCTCTGCTCCAGGATTTCAAAATCTATATTAATATTTCATCAAATGAACTGGTTTTCATTTTTCTTAAGTTCCTACATGCTATTTTTGTGTGGCTTTACCAACCTTGGGCGTGTCACTTTGGGCCGAGACCACACAGGCCCTGGTTGCTTTCCCGCTTGGATGTGGAACGCAGTCTATGGGATTTCAGCAGCACCTGTGTGAATCACAAATATGCTCTCCTGAATCCACGGGGCTTTCCCCCACTAGCCTTCTGCCCTTGCTTCAGTAGAGTGGGTTTTCCTTCAGCTAACACTGTGTATTGTCCTTGACTTTCTTATTTTAAATAGAATTTTATTTATTTGAAAGGGAGAAAGAGGGGAGAGAGAGAGAAAGATCTTTCATCTGCTGGTTTATTCCCTAAATGTCTGCAACAGTCAGGGCTGGACCAGGCCAAAGCCAAGAGTCTGGAACTCAGTCTGGGTCTTCTGCATGGGAGGCAGGGTCCCAGCTGGCTGAGCCATCACTGCATTTCAGGATGCACATTAGCAGGAAGCTGGAATCAGGAGCCAGGCTGGGACTCAATCCAAGGGGTTTCTTAAGGTGTTTATAGCCATGTCTCCTGATAGTAGTGCTCCTTGTGTTTAGAATGTGTTTCCTGTGCAAGCTCTGTTCATGGATACCATTTGATTTGATTCTTTTTTTTTAAAGATGTATTATTTTATTTATTTGAAAGGCAGAATTTCAGAGAGGCAGAGGCAGAGAGAGAGAGAGAGAGAGAGAGAGAGAGAGAGAGAGAGATGGTCACAGCGGTCGGAGCTGGGCCCATCCAAAGCCAGGAGTCAGGAGCTTCTTTCTTGTGTGTGCAGGGGCCCAAGGACTTGGGCTATCTTCCACTGATCTCCCAAGCCAAAGCAGAGAACTAGACTGGAAGTGGAGCAGCTGGAATTCAAGCCGGTGCCTATATGGGATGCTGACAATGCAGCCGGCAGCTTTACCCACTACGTCACAGCACCGGCTCCTTAATTTAATTCTTATAAGCCAAGTATTCTGCAGGTGAGGAAACTAAAATTCAGAGAAGTTAAGTAAGTCAGCCAAGGCCACACAGCTAGGTTACTCTCAGTCTTTAAATTCTCTGCCTGTGTGCCTCCCTATGAGAACAACACCCAGGAGTTGTCTTTTCTTCAGTGCCTTGCCTTTTGTGTAAGGACACTACTGCATATACTGTCCTAACAGCTAGATTTGTAGGCTACTGAATGAGTTTCCTAGCGATTAGTTACTAGGGTCCTTATAAGGAAGACAGTGCAGCCCAGTGTAATGCTTCTCAAACTGAAGTGCATGTAGGATCCTGTGAAAACGTGGAGTCTGCTTCATAGGGCTGCATTTCTCATGAGCTCTCAGGTGACCGGGGGGGGGGGGGGGGGGGGGGGGGCTCGCTCACCAGGAGGAGTGATGTCTGGTGCAGGGCTCTGGAGCTGGACACACTAGATTCCAGTACTGGCCCTTCTGTTTGCTGACTGTGACCTGGAGCAAGCGATGGAGCCCCTCTGAGTCTTCACTTCTTCATGTTTAAAGTGAGGATCCTAATACGCCTCGTACTCACCACAAGGCAAAACTAATAGTCAGGAAATGGCTTGCGGGGATGGGCCTGCCTTCACTACACACTGCTGCCTGATGGATCTCCCTCCAAGGAGATCTTCCCCACGATCCCCGCCATCTAGTGCATTACATCCAAACCCCTGCTCTGGAACCTGAAGCCCACGATGTGACAGCCACAGTTCCCACCGCAGCTCCATCCCTCCCTTGCCCTTCTGTGTAAGGAACACACCGGGCTTCCTGTTTCCTCTTGCCCATTCACCTTGTCCTACCCGACCCTTCATCACGTCTATGGAAATTCTCCCTCCTTTTCAGTGTCCTTTCTCCCGGGCAGGCTCTGACGGGAAGCATTTTTGCTGCTCTCCACCCCCTCACTCCCGACAAACTCGCACATACATCTAGGTAGGTCTCTCTAGTATTTGAATCCTCCTAATTCTGTTTATATCTCTGTGTGGGTTTGCTTTATTTCGGTCTTTCTTCTACCTTATATTCGAGCTATTTCTGCAGTGCCTCGTCTCCTGCTAGGGTCTGAGTTGCATGAAGATGCAGGGCATGGTCGGGTAGCACAGTGGTAAGAACCTGCATACTTAGCGTGCAATTCAGCTCTGCTATTTGCCGGCATGGTTGCCTTGAATCGTTCTCCCAACTGATCTGACTGGGTTGTTCTCATCTTTCAAGTGGGAGCTGAGTAATACCTAACTTGCAATAACCGGGAATAAACCTCATATAAAAATACCTCACACTGTATCCAGCACTTAGGAAGGGCTCCTGTCAGTAAAAATGAATGGATTAGAACTGACTGTTTAATCCCAACACAACCCAGACATTCATTCTAGTTGTGTTAGCAACTGGACCCAAGCCCAGACTTGCAATTTGTGTGAGCATTTTAACAGTTTCTTTTCCAGTTGTATTTGTGTCAGTGTTAAGCCTTATCAGATTATTCCATATTTAGCCCTCTTGAAATCAAAGCATATTTGTTGATCTAACTCCTATGAGAATAAAGTGATATAAAAAGGCACACGTCTTAAAAGCTTGAGTTTGAATCCAAATTACCACTCTCTAGTGGTTTCCTTAACCTTCTCAAACTATGATAATCTCAGAAACTGGATTTCAGATGTTTTCCACATTTTAGATTTTTAAAATAATTTTAAAAAGAAGGAAACTTGAAAATATTTACAGAAATAAATAGCACATTAATTCTGTAGCTCAAAGACACTAACAATGGCATTGTGGATGAAGGTAATAATGTTAAATACTTTTTAAAATAGAAATTATATATATTTACCCTTGAGAATTTCAGTGTTTAGTTTATTTTAACAATTTCTCAGGAACAGTAATTTTTTAAAAGATTCTAATAGACTAAGTTTAAAAACAGCCAAATTTAACAAACTATACCACTGTTTAGCTTAACCTTTTGGGGAACAAAATACTTAAATTTTTCTTTTTAATTGGAAGTTTAATGTTGCCAATGCAACCTAAGTTAACTCAATGCCTTGTGATGGATCCAAGTTGCATCGAAACTGAGGACAGTGAGAGCCAAAGTCACAGCTAGAATCAGTATGTTGTTTTGTTGGTGTGGGTAGAGACAGTTTTCTAAAAAAAAAGAAAAAGAAAGAAAGAAAGAAAGAAAGAAAGAAAGAAAGAAAGAAAGAAAGAAAGAAAGAAAGAAAGAAAAGGAAAATGGGGCAAACCTTGTTTTAATCAGGAGTATATGGAAAGAAAATTAAGTGCCTATATTAAAACCTATTCTTTCAGACTACCAATGACATTTTTCCTTAGCCTCAAGAGACCATCATAAAACTTGGCTCACAGTGCTTTCAGAACAGGAACTGAAGTTGTGTACCGTGCATGTATAGTCCTACGCAAGAGGAAAGCAATGTTTAAAGCTGCTGTCGTCTCCAGGAAAAAAAAAAAGAAAAAAAAAACACTGGGATTCTAAGTCGAGTATGTATGCATTTTCTGTTTTTCTGTCTTGTGGGTTTTTATTGCTAAAAATATTTTTATGAAATTGTGCTGTGCTTCTTTAAGCTTCGTGTGGTCTTGTTTGCTCACTCTCAAATCTCAGACCACGACATCGTTACAAAACATCTTGAGTTATTAAAAGTAAAAGAAATTGTATTCTGTTTGCAAACTGAACAGCAGGCCAAGCAATGTCTTCAGAAACAAATATCTCATTCTATATAAAAGAAAAAAAATGTTCTTTTCATTATAAGCTAGAATGAGGACTGATTCCAGGACAAAGAGACAGAAACTGTCTCCTGAAAACCATGATGTTGAATCTGTTTACAGAGAGGAAAATGAGGGAGAGCTAGGCTTGTTTCTCTTGGCCTGTTTGGCCACTGTAAACCATCTTACTGAATGCTCAAATCTTAAAGAATCACTTTGGGATTTAAGTTACCAGTCTGCAGGGTGCTGATGATCAAGTTAACAACAGCAAAGTGGTATTTCATTTTACCGTATACAGAATAGACATAGATTGAGACATACTCCATCAAATGGTGAGGAGCATGCACCTGGGTGTGAGCACAGGCTCTACCATTTGCTAACCATATGACTTTGGACAATTTAACAGCAGCAAGTCTGTTTTCTCATCGGTAATATGGCAATTCTATCATATTTCATCCGAGTTAACATGCATTCACATTTTAGCATCTCTAATATCGGAATGTATCTTACAACTGATGTATCTTGGTTAATTGGAAACACTTTTTGCTCTCTTACTAGTATAGAAATTAGTTTGTAATTTATAGGCTATCACATTTGAAATTCAATTAAACATAATATGTACCTCTTAGAGTTGTTTTGAGATACAGTGCTGTAAAACCTTATGCCCTGAACCTGACCCACAGAAGACTCTCAGCAAATAATATATGTTAAGATTGCACTGTCTGGTTTTTGTAAATGCTGGCATTTTCATCTCTTGTTAGTCATAACTACTGTTTGCCAATATTTGAAGTTCAGTCCTTTGCAAAACCTTGGGTTTCAACCATCCGCTTACTGAGCTGTTCACCAAATTTCCTCTGATTTCTCTGGAGTGAAGATATTGATGCTAACGGCTTCATATGGAACATAGGCTTGTGATAGGCTTTGTGAATGTCCATACTGACTCGTCTTTGTCAGGTTGCAGTGTCTATAGACAACAACAAGAGTCAGTAGTGAGCTTCAATTGTGCTTCAACAGTTCCGGGTCATAGACAGTGCCACCAAGTTGAGAGGGAACAGCATGCAAAAGTATTTAAAGAGCGTAGATTCTGGAGCCAAACTGGCTGGGTTCAAGTTCTGGGCTTTTCTCCTCCCAAGTCGTGTAACCTTGCCCTGATAACTTAACCTCTCTGTGTTCACCATTTCTTCATAGGATTCTTGTGAGAATTAAATTAGCTAATATACTTAAAGTACTTGTACACAAAAGATGCTGTGTAAGTTTGCCATTGTTAGAGAAAATATACACTTTTTGTGTTTAAGTTCCTTAAAAGGGTCTGGGTTTTCTGATACTGGGAATACTGATAAAAGTAATATTCTTGTAAATTTACTTTCTTTTTTTCAAAATAAAAGATTTATTTATTTATTTGAAAGGCAGAGTTACAGAGAGGCAGAGGCAGAGAAAGAGAGAGAGAGGTCTTTCATCCGCTGGTTCACACCCCAGATGGCCACATAGGCCGGAGCTGCAGAGGCCCAAGCACTTGGGCCATCTTCTACTGCTTTCCCAGGCCATAGCAGAGAGCTGGATTGGAAGTGAAGCAGCTGGAACTTGAACCCGTGCCCATATGGGATGCCGGCACTGCAGGTGGCAGCTTTTACCCTTTACGTCACAGAGCCGGCCCCTAGTAAATTTACTTTCTAAGCAGATGTTCTTACTGTAATTCTGACTATTAGAGGCTTCTATCATATAAAATATATAACAGGAGCAGGCATTTGACCTACCCATTAAGATGGAGTGCCTATGTTCAAGTCCTGGCTGCCCTCCAAATTCCTGCTTCTTACTAATGCACACCTGAGAGACAGCAGGTGACGGCTCAAGTAGTGGATCCCTGCCACCCACATGGGAGACCAGAACTGAGTCCAGACCCCCCGCTGCAGATGGTATAGGCATTTCAGGAGTGAACCAGCTGGTAGAAGTGCTTTCTCTGTCTCTCTTCCTCTCTGCTTCTCAAGTAAATAAATAAATCACTTTTTAAAAAATGAATAAAACTCATTGTAAAAAACAACATTTTTTAAACTAAAAAACTTAAATGTGTAACCTGCAAGCAGTGCTGTGGAGATATGTGGGATCATGTGACATAGCTTTCAGAACTGGTCAGCAGAGCCCATGAGAGTATTTTAGGCATGGAAAGCCAAGACACTCTGGGGGAAAAAAAAAAAAGAAGACCTAAATGAAAGATCTCTGCAAGTGAGATCACAGTGGAAAGAACGGGGCCATCAAAGAAGGAGGTACCTTTATCTGAAGGGAGGAAGGAACTTGCACTCTGACCAAGACCCTGTCTGAATAAGATCCAAGTGAGCAAACTCAAAAGGCTTCCATAGCCTTGGCAACTCATGACTAGAGCCTAGGGAGATCACTGACGCCATAAACAAGAGTGTCAAATTGTTAAGTCAACAACAGGAGTCACTGTGTACTTACTCCTCATGTGGGATCTGTCCTTAATGTGTTGTCCAATGTGAAGTAATGCTGTAACTAGTACTGAAACAGTATTTTACACTCTGTGTTTCTGTATGGGTGCAAACTGATGAAATCTTTACTTAATATATACTGAATTGATCTTCTGTATATAAAGATAATTGAAAATGAATCTTGATGAGAATGGAATGGGAGAGGGAGCCGGAGATGGGAGGGGTGCGAGTGGGAGGGAAGTTATGGGGGAGGGAAAGCCATTGTAATCCATAAACTGTACTTTGGAAATTTATATTTACTAAATAAAAGTTAAAATTAAAAAGAACTGGTCAGCAGGAATCATGTGACTAAAAACAATCTCTGAAAGGTTTCTGGCAAAAAAAATATCAGATGATGTCTGAGGTTACTTCCAAAAACCTTTAGAGTCTGTAGAATATTTTGTAATGGTGTAAAATTCAGTGGAATTTAGGTCTTCCTATACCCTCAAAAATGGTCACCATAGCAAGGCGTTTTAGAAGGGCCTCCTTCTAACATATGTTTACTTATAACTGATATTGTTCTAATTTTTTAAAAAATGTAATGATCATGTGCTAGAGCAACTACAACCATTAAGGATTTGTCTCTAAGGAACTGAAGTTGGCTGTGCCTTCTAACTTATTGATCAGACTTTTTCACATGGACCAGAGTGCCAAATCCAAACTGAAATAAAACAGCCATAGTTGTTATTTTTTGATTAGTAATTCACCTAAGCAATGTAATCAGTATTATTTTTGTATAATGAAAGTATACTTCTAGCTTTTCTTTTCCCTTTGTTCATTTTTTAAAAGATTTATTTATTTATTCAAAAGGTAGAGTTACATCAAGAGAGAGAGAGAGGGAAAGATCTTCCATACACTGGTTCACTCCGCAGATGGCCGAAATGGCCAGGGATGAAGCCAGGAGCCTGGAATTCCATCCAGGTCTTCTATGTGGGTGGTAGGAATCCAAGTACGTGGGCCATATTCTTTTGCTTTCCCAGGCACATTAGCAGGGAGCTGGACCAGAAGTAGGGCAGCCAGATCTTGAACCAGTGTTTATATGGCCATGGCTTAACCAATTGAGTCAGAACACCAGCTCCCATTGTTCACATTTTATTCATGTATAATATCTATCATCACTGTCAATATCCAGAGACTATATACAGGGTGTTGAAACACTGATGCCCAAACAACTTGACTCCTAAGCCCAGTTCTGTCATTCAGTTCCTATCTAAATATCCAGTAAGATTTTTTCTTGATTATGCCTGAAGGGTTGGGTGGCCCTCTTTGCTCCTGTAGCTCTGTCAATCTAATACATGTTTTCCAAGGTCATTCTGGTGGGGAAACCAGGACCTGAAGGGACTCTTTTAGGAACAAATCCTGGAAATGGCCTCTGAAATTCCCATGCAATTCCTTTGGGTAATACCCACTCAAGACTCCAACCAAATTATATAGGAGTCTGAAAAATAGCATCTTCTTAGGTGCCCAGGAAGAGGAAATAGCATTGTGAAAGCATTCTCTCTGCCATAGCCACTTATTAGCTGTGAGACCGAGGCAAGTTATTTACCTCCCCTGAGCCTCAGTTTTCACATTTACAGAGAGAAGGTAACAACACCTGTCTTGCAGAGCTGAATGAAGAAAGGAATGCAAACCATTTACCTGGTGGTAAATGTTTCATAAATTATTAATATTATTATTAATAAATGTTAATCTATTACTAATAATAACAAACTGATGTTTCTCCCTAGAACACACACAGTCGCAGGGCCTACACTGGTAGCATCAGAATTGTCTGGTCCCTACCATTCTAAACCTCTGACGATTCCATAGGTTCAGCCCAGCCTCTCTGCAGTGCAAGACTTAGTAAGAATGGCTCTTAGCCACGAGACATGACGATAGCATCATGGTAGGGGCACTGGGACAAGAGAAAGGAAACCAAAGCCAGGGTAGCACACCGAGCATGGACTCAGGATCCTCAAGGAGTCATGGAGGGAACGATTGTAAGGAGGTGCATTAAAGTGTGGAAGACAATGAAGAGAATCACCTGTTGAGTGAACTTGTGCATAAATGAGACCCCCAAGTTCCAAGATAGCTGCTGCAAGAGAGAGAACAAATGACAATACACTGAGAGTTTCAGTGTGGCAGGTGTCATGCTAAGGCTTTCATGCAAGTGACCTCATTTAATTTGCACAGGATCCTTAGGCAAGATTCATGAATCTTGGTTTCCAGCAGGGTTAAAACAACTCTTCTGAGCTTATACGGTGGAGTAAGAAGTGCCATGGCTGGGATTGGATCTTCAGTGTCCCAGTGTGGTGTTCT